TATGGACTCACCATATTGTACCATACAGTATCTTAAACAGAACGGCGGGGATGGGCCCCAGGTCTCCCTCCTCCTCCTTACCTGGGTCTTAGGTTCTGCTGCCGAGAGGCACCGAGCATCCACAACTCTCCCGTTTCAGCAGTTACAGCATCAGACTCTTATTGCAGATAACAGAATAAGTACTACCATCCATCTTTTACACATTGCTTGGTCCCTTCAACTGGTCCCTGCTCCAGGGTATTTGTGTAAGTGCCGCGCGGACAAAGAACAAGCCAGACAGAAGCTTTAACAAAGCTCTGAACAGCAGATATAAAATTCTTTATAGATATATCTATATATTCACGTGAGTGAGTGATTTGATCTTAAAACTTTCTAAAATAGGCATATGCTGTAGGCTTTTACACAGTGGGGATAAAATATTATGGGATCCAGCCTTAATTAGCTTTTCTCATCCAAATATACACATTACACTAAACAGAGGAATGGATTCGGTCAGTCTGGTGGTGATTATTGCTGCTCAATGACCAAGCTGCCTCATGTCCTGCTCCACACATGAAACTACTGTAAAAATCCATCCCACCTGATCAAACAACAGCCTTTTTGGGTAGTGTGGGGGAAGAGAAGGAGCTTGTACATGGTTCACTTAAAATGGAGCGACAAAAGCAGAGTTTGAAGGCATAAATTCAGAACAGCCCCATATTGTTATTACAGATGGAAACAGTGAGGGAAGAAACAGAAAAAACAAAAGCCAGCTTTTGTGAGTTCCCGAGCAATCCCATATGATCCATATGATCCCATCCAGGGTCTTGTACGTGATGTTTTGGGAGTTTTGGAATGACATTCAGGGTCTCCCTGAATAAAGCACTGAAATGACCCATCTTCCTCAAGCCTGGCCAAGCGCCATGATAAACAGTCTGTGTGTAATTCATTGCACATTTTGCAGTGTTCTCTACATATCTCTGTAGATATATAAATATAGCAATACATGCCACTTTCCATATGTCAGCCTGCAAAACATATCAGAAAGACAAAAATCAGACTTACATAACACTGAACACATGACTCAACATACAGTCAGCTTAAAAGTATGCCAACTGAAATCATAAGCATGTCCCAGGCCAAACCCAAGCTGTGTTGCCTACAGGATTAAATGTATTCTAAATGATTAAAACCCAAACGGTACGTTTCCCAGAAGACAAGTTTGGTTGCAGTTTTGATTGTAGGTTGGACATATGACAGGCAGGAATTTCACGTGCAGCTTTCCCAGTAGCTCCTGCTATAGTCCAACTCTAATATCCCTTGAGCGCCAGCTCTCACCACCACCGAATCATGCTACTGGCTATGGCAGCAGTCTTTTTGTGGGGCAGGCTGGAATGGCCTGGTTCAGGTCCGAGACATGCCAGTGCTAGGAGCTGGCTGCTACCACTGCTTCTCCCTGCCACGGCACTAACCAGGGTTTGAATTACACTTTGACTCTTGGAGGGGTCGGAGGCAGAAGAGACGGAGGTGGCAGTGGTGGCAACAGAGAAGCCGCAGGGCAGCCCAGGCATGGGCTCCGGGCAGCTGCAGCAAAAAGCACCTGGCAGCAACAAGGGGCAGAGGCTACTTTGCCCCTGCACTAAATGGCAGTTTCTGCCCAGCTGTTGGGGGGACTCTCCTCTCTCATCAGGGAGCTCAGCCCTCCTGAGCCCCTCCATAATTTGAACGCAACAACCATCTCTACTGCCCAGCCATAGCCACAGTGCATATGAAGCCCCCTACGGCGGCAGTCCCCTGCTAGTGATTGCTGCCAAAGCCCCCTGGGTCTGCAGGCCAGATCCAATGGCCTCTGAACACATATAAGAAGGTGAGGCCATATATTTGTTTTCACAATTGATCAAAACTTAAGTTTGAGCTTGGGTCTCCAGAGATGAAAAGCTAGCATTTTGACCCTCCCCCTCACCTGTGCAATTCTTTTAAGAGGAGCACTCTACAAAGCAAATCCCAATCCATGCTCTCCAGATAGTGCTCATCTTCCACTATCTTCTACAGTAGGAGAGGAGTTGGCTAATCAAATGGTGAGGAAAAGGAGAGTTCTTCATTTCCAGGTCACCAGCTCATCTCAGATGCTGGGATCTGGAATTACGCGGAGGCTCCACCGTGACCCTACATGAAATGAATGCTGGTGGACCAGACCACAGCTACAGTACAGAAGAGAAATAAAGTAAAAAATGCAAGTCCTGCTGCCACTGCTGCCGCAGACATTGCTGCTGCTTCTACCAGAAGAGGCTTTTAGGGTTAGTCCGGCACCTTTGAGAAGCACCAGATTCACATCTGTTACTCTATTCCACCAAGCTGGATCATGCCATCTTTACCCTGGTATGGTTTTAAGAGGAGATTTTGAGCCCAGTGCACCAGCTTTTCATTTTCTCCAAGTCAACGCACCGATTCAATGGAGTGCCTTTGTGAACTAAAGTTTACTTACATGGGGTCCCTGAGTGGGCAGAGTAGGATGGATACCTACCACAAGACGTGCTTTTGTTTGTTCACATTTTAATTTTCATTCTTCCTCCTCTTCCTCCTCCTCTTCTGAATTGTCCTTGTTCTTTGAAGTGTTGCTGAATTCAAGGTTCCCCTCAATGTCCAGCACCTGCAAATGCTTTAGGCTTCGGAAGATACTTTCCTTCAGTGATCCAACTGCAATCTTATTAAACCTTCAATACAAAACACAGAACCGCTGGTTTTAAAATAACTCCTTGATGCAGCTTTGTTAGATCCCAATTCTGAACTTTGTTAGGATGTGTGATCTGCAGGGATGCTAAATACCCTTCATTTCTAAAGCCAGCACAGGAGCGTTTGAAGCCTGCCTGAGTACTAACATATCCTACCCTTGTATAGGCACAAAGTACCAACCCAGGAAGTACAGGGCCGGCCTACAGACCTGAGCTGCTGACAGTATGAATGCTCACAGGCCTGACTCTATTGCTGACAGGCTATTTCTAAAGTGTCTCCTTAACACAGAAACAGAAGTGTCCCAGATTCAACAGCCTAATGGGAAATGCTGCATCTACGTCCAAGCGTGCGTTGGTTTTCACTGGGAGCGATGCCAGCCGACCCCAGGGGGAGTTCTGGATAGGAAGACAACAGAGAAATAAGGTAGGAATCTACAAGCAGCCAAGTGGAGTGATAATTTACACATCCTGCTGACTTCTATGGCAGACAAAGGACCTTATAGCAGGAAAAGACGATGACAATCTGAACAATGCACAAAATTCACTGATTCCAGCTGATCTGGCTCTCAGAAAGACTTGCCATCCAAATCCCATCTCTCACCCTGCCTTTAGCCTCAACAGCTGTAGACAATGGGCAAAAACTTTATTGGAATTCCTCCTTCATAAATCCTTAATCCTGGCACTCTGCCCTTTCCATCCCACATGCAAATGTTACCAGGCCCTTCAAAGCATCGTTTGCTTCTCTCTGATTTTTTTTAGATTCCTCCCCTTTCAATATTAGATCAAAGTCTCCCTGTATAAACAGGAAAATTCAACAGTTGTTTATCTGTCATTTTTGTTTCCCAAGCGTAAGCACACTAATCTGGAATTTAATAATCCTTTACATTGCCTGGCTCACCACTCTTGAATATGATCACGGTTATATTCTTCTAAATACCCCCAGATGTACATGTCACTCTTTTGTAATGGCACAGTGATTGTTGCAAAATAAAGCTCATCTGGTTTTGCAAATTGTGCACGCACACCTGGACACACATACGTATATAAAATGACCAGTCTGCATCAAAAGTGCCTACTGCGTTCTTCTAGACCAAAACTGCTGGATTCTACTTAAGCAGCCTTTTTAATGTTATATGCTCAGTATGCCTTGTTTCATCCAGAAAGAAAAAGTGCAGCATTTACTTAGAGACACAGGGCAGAGTAGTTGCATATGGAAGAGAAGTTAACAAATCTAATCTGAGCTGTATTGTTGGAAGCACTTAAAAATGAATATTTCCTAGACTAGATCCTGATTTTACTTGCACTGACAAATCCTGCATAACTCAATTTAAATTGTTTGCATTTGTCTGGATTTATGCTAGGCATAACTGAGGTTAATTATTAATTCTTTATACGTATAAAGCATGTAGTTAAAAAAAAAAAAAAAAAAACCC